GTATGTATGTATTTTTTTTTTACTGCACCAGTGAAATTGGCTAAACTACGCTTTTACTACCTGTGTGTTAGTCGCAATCCTCTGCAGGGTCAAATGAAACCGACGTCTAAATAAAGCTATACAATGTCCTTACACAAAGCGACTAATAGTTGAAATCTATTGGATACGCACGCATGACATCATTAGTTTTCCAATATATGCATATTATGCAATTACTTCCTGTATGCTATCATTATTAACTATTTCACCATGAAGAAAGTGATTCCAATGGCATCGCATTGAATAAATCATTTAGTAACTATAATATGAAAAGTTTTGAACCACTATTTGAAATGTATGATATCGATTATACAAATAATATCAGTCATTTGAGTATTTATAAAAAAAACAAGTTTATTATTTTAATAAAGACCCACTCCTGTTTACGTTTGGCGCCGATACAAGTATTATGACAATTCCAAAATCTTATAACATGTTCAATTTCGAATTTGCTGGTGATGTTGATGTTCATCACCAGCGAATTCGCCGATCACAGGTAGAGCATGGTCAATATAAGAAAAGTCCAGATAATTTCCCCGCCTCTTTTTGTATTATGTAGAAACAAATAAAGACAAATAGAGAATAAATAAAGTTATATTAAATAGAAAATGACATAAATATATATTTGATTGTATAGGTATATGCGCCTCTACAACAGGAAGAGTGTGCTATACCTCTCAATATATGATACAATGTGTTTGTTTATATCATTTTGTAATGAAAGAGTTTTGTTTACATTTTATGTACAATAAAATTTGTGATTGTATGTTTCTGTAACATATAATGCGTCTGAATGTTTTTGTCAAATAGAATGTGATTGTATATCTTAGTGTAATAAAAAAAGGTGGGAAATACATTTTCAACTTCAAACATTCCATATTGTCATATGTTCCATTAAAACTTTCAAAAGTAAGATTTTCTGCAATATCTTGTACATCCACTTCCTTTAAATGAAATGGTGATTTTACAAGAATGCACCATTTAAATTGATGTTTGAGGAATCATACCCGTAAAACTTAATATAACTTTTAGAATTGAGAATTCTTTTGAAGCTCAAAAGATGTGTTTTGCCAGAGAAAGGTTACCAATCTAGACCGGATTATTTTAAAAAGAATCAGATGAATACATTCCATTTTATCTTTTGTCGATTTATGTTGTTGTTTTTTTCTTTGAAATGCATGATTTTATGAACAAGCAATCTTGAGATGTTTATGCACTGCATCAAACATTATTAATTATGTCTGACTCATAAAAATAAAATTAATATAAAAAAACTGTAGTCAATCACTCGCCAAAGCTTTAAACAGCTGAACCCTGAGCGTAATTGATCATAACATTGTCAACTTACCGGCTAGCTTACTCAAATCTTGCATAACTTGTATTTTGAAACATTAATTTAAAACAAAATCGTTTAGAACGATTTCCAAAATTTCAGTTTCAAATTATCAGTCACAGACAAATAACCAAAAATATTTATTGATTTTCAATTTTATGAAACAAAATCTGATTTAAAAATATTTGATAGCGACATTCCAAGCTAACTATGCTTTGAACGGTTACACCCTGATGTGTCTATACGCTAATTATACCGTCAGTAAACATTTAAATTGATACTGAAACGGCTGCCGTCAAAGCAATTAAAATCATGTTTAATTAGTGAATGTTTTTGCAGTTACGCAATTGTGCTCCCAGACCAAATAAGAGTTCAACCTAAAGAAATGTTCAAGTGCAAATTTGAAAAAAACACATACCAAAGAGTCAATTCACAATAACAATGTATTATAAAGCTTTAAAACACAAAGGCAAAATATAACATTGAATGAAAACAAAAGGTCAACGTTTACGACAGTGACAAAGTATATCAGTAAACACACACGTACCAAACATATCCCCAAGACGTAAAGACAAAATATAACACATAATAAAACAAAGAACAAAGGTATCACAACACTAATGCACAATGACAACATAAACCTCATAGCTAAAACACAAAGACAAAATACAACGCCAGCACACAAAGACAAATAAAACAAAGGACAAAGTGTATCACAACACTAATGCCTAACGACATCACATACCTCATAGCTAACACACAAAGACAAAATACAGCGCCAGCACACAAAGACAAATATAACATAATAAAACAAAGGACAAAGTGTATCACAACACTAATGCACAACGACAAGATAAACCTCATAGCTAACACACAAAGACAAAATATAACGCCAGCACACAAAGACAAATAAAACAAAGGACAAAGGTATCACAACACTAATGCACAATGACAACATAAACCTCATAGCTAACACACAAAGACAAAATACAACGCCAGCACACAAAGACAAATAAAACCAAGGACAAAGTGTATCACAACACTAATGCACAATGACAACATAAACATCATACATGTAGCTAACACACAAAGACAAAAAAACAACGCCAGCACACAAAGACAAATAAAACAAACAGAGAGCGAAAGTGAGCTTAACCTCTGGAGTATCGAGGACGATTCCAGGGATGCAGAGAGCGAAAGTGAGTGTAACCCCTGGAGTATCGAGGACGATTTCAGGGATGCAGAGAGCGAAAGTGAGCTTAACCTCTGGAGTATCGAGGACGATTTCAGGGATGCAAAGAGCGAAAGTGAGCTTAACCTGTGGAGTATCGAGGACGATTCCAGGGATGCAGAGAGCGAAAGGGAGTGTAACCACTGGAGTATCGAGGACGATTTCAGGGATGCAAAGAGCGAAAGTGAGCTTAACCTGTGGAGTATCGAGGACGATTCCAGGGATGCAGAGAGCGAAAGTGAGTGTGACCCCTGGAGTATCGAGGACGAGTCCACGGGTGCAGAGAGCGAAAGTGAGCTTTACCTCTGGAGTATCGAGGACGATTTCATGGGTGCAGAGAGCGAAAGTGAGCTGAACTACTGGAGTATCGAGGACGAGTCCAGGGATGCAGAGAGCGAAAGGGAGCTTAACCTCTGGAGTATCGAGGACGAGTCCAGGGGGGCAGAGAGCGAAAGTGAGCTTTACCTCTGGAGTATCGAGGACGATTCCATGGGTGCAGAGAGCGAAAGTGAGCTTAACTACTGGAGTATCGAGGACGATTCCAGGGATGCAGAGAGCGAAAGGGAGCTTAACCTCTGGAGTATCGAAGACGATTCCAGGGGTGCAGAGAGCGAATGTGAGCTTAACCTCTGGAGTATCGAGGACGAGTCCAGGGATGCAGAGAGCGAAAGTGAGCTTAACTACTGGAGTATCGAGGACGATTCCAGGGATGCAGAGAGCGAAAGTGAGCTTAACCTCTGGAGTATCGAGGACGAGTCCAGGGATGCAGAGAGCGAAAGTGAGTGTAACCTCTGGAGTATCGAGGACGATTCCAGGGGTGCAGAGAGCGAAAGTGAGTGTAACCTCTGGAGTATCGAGGACGATTCCAGGGATGCAGAGAGCGAAAGTGAGTGTAACCGCTGGAGTATCGAGGACGATTCCAGGGGGGCAGAGAGCGAAAGTGAGTGTAACCCCTGGAGTATCGAGGATGTGCTGCCCAATCATATTGACCGATGTATTAGATTGGTAGCATTGTACGAATGCAATGCGTTATTTCACTGAAGTTTATAAGCTACCTTTCACACTAAATGCGTAATTCAAATTGTCTCCCATGAAGCCTTTTCACTTGACTCATTTATTTCGTAAAAGAAACGTTTGATACCAAATTGTCTGTGTGCATGCATACACCACCGTTTTCTGCATTTTTAATATGTGATCAATGTCAAAACTATTCTGAAGGGTCCCTGTAAAACAATATACAATTCTACTGTAGTACTCCGTGCTAAGGATAACCTACTTTTTTGTTTTTTGTTTTGTTTAGGGGGGGAGGGGGGGTATAAATATTAGGCGACTTGGCTAGGGTAATACTGCTGTTGACTAGGTTGCTCAGTTGTCCTTTCCTTTTTAAACTTGAAACACTGTTTATGATTTGTATTCGTTATGTCATCTTCCTATTTTTTTCACAAAAGTTCCTCAAAGTTTAAAGAAATACCTAAAAGAAAGCTTTAGTCACATTGCAAAGAGGAAACCAGTGCATTATTTTAAGTTTTCAAGTGATACATGGACCATTAGTATAATTATCTGAAAGACAGATGCTTTTTATTAAACTCTTTTTGAATCCAAGTCACATTAAAGTCAAAGCAAAAGCGAAGTACACTCTAGTTAGTCTTTTGTAAATTGAGTAACCCCCTCCTTAACTCGTTTTGGTTAAAACTAAAGCACCACTGGGGCAAGACACTATCGCTGACCACATAACCCACTTGATAAACGTGACGTTTTAATGATCAGAGGTCAAGGGGTTTGGCACCGCCGCCCTTTTAAACTCAAAAGAGTCTTAACTTTTTTCAATGATTATCTCATCTTCGGTATCATTTTCATACATGTTCTGAAAATGTTTCATATATTTTCAGAAATCATTTATCAACAAAGCTGACGTTCTACTGCAAATATGTTTAAAATGCGTGTGCACACATTTAAGTAAGGTATCCTTAAAGAGCTGTGTTTATTGGACTGGTATCTATTAATTCTCAGGAGGCTGAAGTCACTGGTTTATATTGTACTCGTTCATTCATCGATGTTGTCGTGTCACTGAGTCGGCGAGCTGCTTAAGTCACTTTAAATATTTTATTTACATTGAAACTAGCACTCCATAGTTCCACCCATACCTATGGTGAAACGTAAGCTTTGATTTGCTCATTTGTCGAAGGCGCTAACCAATACAATCGATCGACTCGTAACGATACGTGACTTCCCACTTTGATACGTTTTCAATTACTAGTACAGCAAACTGTCGATTTCCAAGGTGAAACGAACATCCCAAATGGGCGTGGCTTCTTGAGTTTGAGTGATGTCCGATCACCACGTGCTGTAGCGATGATGTTGCTGATCAGTTTCATTCATAAAGTAATTCCAGAGAGAGGTTGATGTGTTTGTGGTCGAGAGGGACAGGCCCACGAGACCTTCATGAAAACAACTTGCGTGTATATACATATGCCGTTTTGTCTGTCTATACAACTCTGTCTTATTGATCCTATTGATACATGTCAGCTTTTGATAGTGTAGACAATTATACAAACATGACATTGCAAATTATAGTGGAAGTACTTCAGGAACATGCACTCTTCACGAATCCAAAGGAATAAGTTTTGTTTAATCAGATTTGTTTCTGAGATTGAGTAATTGCTCCTATACATCTTTCCTTTAAAAATGTGCGTCGTGACTGCGGTTAAAATCGGAGAGAAACAATGTGTTGCTGAAGGAAACTTTACTGATCACTTAACCATGCTCATTATCTGGTAACGACCGTCCCAGTTGATCTTCACAGCAATTTAATTACAACAACATGCTACCATTAAGATTTCTCACAGAGAGTTGACAATGGATTTTTCTTTAGGACAAAAACGGAACTAAATTCATTTTAAGAGAAAAGGTAAGTTCAATATATTAATTATTACTATCAATGTGTGTTTAATATTCAAAACTTTGAAGATTTAAAATATACATGTATGTGGTAAAATATACTTTCTATTAAAAATCAATTGATACTTATATATATACACTGGCCGACAGTTTTGATCAAACGATGTAAGACAAGTTATTGATTAAAACAGAACATCATTTATTACTCACTAAACATAGAAATATTCGTCTCTTCAGTGTATCTTTTCCTTATACAGATATTTTGTAAGCAGGGTCCGTTACAAAATTTTGATTAAAGGAGATAAAACATATCGAATGGGAGTAAGAGTTGTATTCTATATATTTTACATAAGAACCATTAAATATTTTGGTATTGCCGAAATTCTGTACAGAATGAAATATTTGTGGGCGATTCATTTTCCCGATGTTACATTAAGAAATCGTCTGACTGACTAACTTTGTCACTATCTGTTGGCACATATGCACCTGAGGCAGTTAAATTGACCGTATGTTCGTTAACTTTATATTCGCTGATCCACTGCAATAGCGAAAAATGCGAAAAAGACTACAATGTATGCAATGACTGTTTATGTTACAGAATAGTTGATAATTCAATTGATTGATTATGCACTCTGGCGTGGCGTATGTATATAAAGTATCATTGCCTAATGTTTTAGCTGTAGATATAGCAAAGCAGTTTTTGTCAACGTATCCATTCAATTTAGGCATATCATAGGCTACACTGTTATTTCCAACCCTGCAGGGAAATAGCTATAGCTTGTATATATTGAGTAGCACCTAGCCTCAGTTAAAACGACTGTACCGCAATCCAGCAAGTGTTTTACGAAAATGTTATCTTCCTTTCTGTGGACTTTACAGCGATTTGATGCTGGGTTAACTAATTGGTTTAATGTTTAGCGCAACGCCACTGGTCATCTATTTATCCGAACAAATGACTATGAGAGGCGCGATGACCAACCATCTACTAATGTATTGCTTTATGGAGACTCTAACCTCTCAACACCACAAAATAAAGAAATATTCGAGAGAGTTTACATCTTCATTGGCCAGTATAAACGTTTTTGTTAAGCAATATAAGTATTAATATGTTGATAAAATGAAATTGTGAAAACCTCACATGCTGTCATAAAGATAAAATTACTTACCATTTCATGGAATATCAATATATATCTCGTAACGTGTCCCTTACCACATATTTTTTCTTTTCTTCATTTGCTTGCATGTACCTGTAGTATTATCACTTGTTAGTAATCTATAAGGCCACTAGTTTGGTAGAAAGATGAGAAGGATTGATACAAGTACACAGTACTTGTTTCCTCATCATGTTTGCTAATGTGATTTATATTCTTCATACCATGTACTTCAATACTTGAATAAATACTGTTTAAACCAGAGGCGCGATGAATCCACTGTGTGGAGGGTTGTAGGATATTTGGCATATTCTGACATATAACGGCTACACTTACACTTAGTAATTTGTGGTTTCAATTTAGTTAGATATTTAATGTGTGTTGATAAGAATTATCAATTTCGCGCTGAATTATCGGACTAACCACGAAGATAGCATCACCTCTAAAACACCCCTTTGTACAGTATCATTATATACATAGATATCCGTTGCTGTGTAGCGTCAACGACTGTAGACGTAAAATTGACATATTCACTCAAAGGGTTCATCAGCTTCATTACATCAGGACCAGTGTTCAGTTAAACCATCATGAAGCAAAAGCATGAAGTCTATGCTTAAAACAACTTTATTGTAATCTCTAAAATCATGCAACACGGTCGAACAGTCACGTCGTGTAATTAACAACAATATTCGACTTCCTGTTTGCCAAAACGAAAGTCCACATTATTGAAAAAAATGTCATGTTTTATTACAGTATTAAAGAACTAACCTTCCGAAAAGGATCGCCGATTCAGCATACCATTGCTTTCATGGATATGCTTACAGGCGACGATTCTCTTAGGTGATGCTATTTCTGAAATATTAGTATCGTTTCCAAATGTTTGTTTGTTTGTTTGAAAAGCTTAGAATCAGCTACAGACAAATCTTATTTGATCTTAGGTTAAACTAGTTTCAAGCAATCGATAATAAAAAAAATAGATATTCAGGGTCATGCTATACAGCAAACGCATCTAAATATTTTGAGGTAAAAGTGGATTAACTAAATCTTTCTTTAGTGACATTTACTTGCGATTGGCCCATGCATAATGCAAAACTGGTAATACCACTAGTACCCATTTCGGATATATTTTGCATGAAATTAACTGAAAGTACAGAACATCTCTGATACAGGATAATAATAATTATATTTATTTTTGAATTATCGAAAAAATATCGTGAATTAGGACGAACCTTTCTTTAATTGGAGTCATATTTAAAACTTGCATCAAAGTTCATAAAATGCTGTGAAATATATCAGGTTTCAATTATAGGCTTTAAGTGATTACTGCAAACTATTTCTTTGTTGAAAAGTGAACACTCTTATACGAACAACGGGTTAACATTTCTATAGGATTTACGTATATAGGTGTTTTAAAAATGGACCAAACCAGAGACATTGAATCGGAATTCACCAAGATACGTTACATTTTAAGAAAATTCCTGAAAGCATAATTACATGTGCAACATTTTGTTAGCTAGTATACAGTTAAATACGCATTATTTAAAACAACATACACTGGGGGGACCCCCCTCACAAGTGCAACCTCGATATAAATGTCAGGCAGGTCATGTGGTAGAAGTTCATGAACTCGACAGTTGGTGTAACGTTGCTCTCTATAGTTTAATTATTTGAATATTTATTTCTGTGACATTTAAAAGTATTTTTGACACCTGGATATCAAATAAATACATGTATTGTAGCAAAACATCAAACTCTAGTAACATCGATTAATTGGATAATAACATATGGTTTCCAACGTTTGTCCGCGTTACGACTTTTTAGGACGCTTTTAAAAGTAATTTTGTTCTTCATTCATATAATAATAAAATGTAGTCACTCGCAAACAATTTGTTTGCAAGTGACTACCAATTTGGGATAAAATCTAGGAACTGTATATAAGACTATCCTATTTCATCGTATTTCATACTGCCGGTATGTTACAAAGCTCTTTTCGATACCATTTCCTTTTGTTGCGTTATAGTACTAACAGAGACGCATTATAGCTACGGATCACTCCATTTACAGTTGGACTTCCGGGATGGGTTAACGATTAGATTGAATGGAATTCGCATACTATGTCATTTGGGCATTGCAACTGGATTTTAAATGATTAAAAGACGGAGCTTGTAATGACCCTTGCATGGTCATTAACCTGCTTGGTATCAAACAATGGCCGATGTTGTCTCCTGGTACGTGTACTGTTAATCTGAGTGGGGAAAAAAATCATAATAATAAAACTATGATATAAATTCTTAAAATTCCCAGAAATCAGCAGGAACACGGTTTTAATCAATATTGTTGTAGCCTAAAGATATCAATTTTAAACGTGGGAATTTTAAGAATTTATATCATAGTTTTATTATTATGATTTGTTTCCCCACTCAGATTAACAGTACACGTACCAGGAGACAACATCGGCCATTGTTTGATACCAAGCAGGTTAATGACCATGCAAGGGTCATTACAAGCTCCGTCTTTTAATCATTTATAGGCACTTTTTCCTTTTCGCGATATTCTGCATACGGTTCGGATAACTAAAGACATGAATGTTTCATTGTTGTGACAATTCATACCGCTGATGAATTCTAAAAAGACAAAATGACCAAAACGTTCAGTAAATCGCTCAATTCATTAGGCTTTCTATTTCTACAAATATAAATGCTTTCCTACATCCTATCCCTAGTTATAATTGTTTCGCAATACATTTGTACGATATATTTTATAATTCATTTTGCATGAAAATCTTCTTTTGGAGATTACTCGTGCCATTATAAAGTTCCTTTTGTAGTAAAAACAATCAATACTGCGTGAATTATATGCGTTATCAGTCTAACCTGCCGACTTATTTGCACTTATTTTAAAAAAAAATCACCTGTGTCGGGGGATATCGCGCTATTTTCATTGTTTGCCAAGAGATTCAATATTCATTGATGTATCGTCCATAAAAATGTGTAAATGTGTGTTAATATATAATGACACTTCAGACAATGCGTAATGTGTACGACAAACGACTAAATGCCTTAAGTTCATTAGGCATCGCTTCCATAGTCATGCCCTAGGCACCCGTCTTCATAAACTCCGTGTAAAATGAACAACGCAAATTCGTAGTCATGCACATCATCTCTCGCTTGGAATGAAAACTGTGCATTCACATTTCATGCAAATATTCCCTATAATAACGAAAAAAGATTACCAGCAATTTATGAGTTTTCTTTTTCCTTTCTTTGACTCTACATAATGTTTACATGTGAGGTGTTTTTTTCTCGTCGTTTACTCTGGCGTCTCCATGGCTGGTTGGTTTGGCGATTAGGACGTTACTGTCGTCTGAAAAGTAAACATTCGGTTTAGGGACCGGTATACAAAATTTGATAATGTTGAGAAATCATTTTTTACCGATGCATGACTATATATTTCATCGATATCAAGTATCATAAGCATGTACCTGTATACTTCCGAAAAGACGTTCCAATTGCATTTTATATCTTTATTTACATATTTGATTAATAGATATTCTCAATAAACATATTCGTTGTTAAGATTACTATATACCGGGAAATTTTCGCTGCAGTTTAATTTAGCTTTTTCGCCGTCTGTAATTAGGGCGAATATATCATAACAACGAATATAAGTCTACAGCATAATAAACACACATGTAGTAACTAAAAGTGAAGGGCGAAATTAACACTGGGCAAAAATTGACTTTTATGGGCGAAAGGCGAAAATTTGGCGAAAAATCCCCGTTATACAGTACTCTTTTTTTATTCTCGCATTCTGTGTTATCCAAAGAAAATCTGTAGTTCAGTTCCTTTTTAAAACTAGC